TTGAGTATCCAATGCCAGAGAATTAGGGATTCAAAGCACTAATTTTGTCGATCATCAAGAAAATACGTAATGCTAGGATGATGTTACGAATTCACTAAGATTAAGGCATTATTGGTTCTCTCATTTCTTGTTTTCATTATGGTGAAAGTATTTGTTCAAGTGATTATTTGGGTCATAAGTTCAAGTGGATTCAAATTTGTTAAATTGGACCAATATTTTAAGAGGCAAAGAGTATTGAGTTTGGAAAGTCCATCCACGTGGATTCCTTGGAATTCAAGTCACTTCGAAGAAGAAAGCACACCATGTTCATCCATGATCAAGATTTTGGATTTCAAATAAAAGTCTTTCTTTATGTCATCTTTGAGTTTATCTCGTAAGTCATCCATAAAAAAGGTTCGATATCATATGTTTCATTCAAGTTGCAAATGAAGAGAAGCATTGGGAGCTCTTAGTTCTATTTGAAGAGAAATTGATTTTGGATAGGAGATTGAAGATTTGGAATTGCCAAATTAATATTGCATTCAAGAACATTCAAGTTTCATTCAAATTTCCACCAAGTATTAAAAGAGGGTTCAAAGCCGTTTCTTTAGAATATTCATCATGAAAGTGGAAGCAAGCTTCTTTACAAAGCAAAAGAATTCATATTTTATGTTACATTCTGTTGTACCCCAAAAATTGCCCTCCCATTTCTCTCAACATTTTTCTCATCACAAGGCCCTTGGAGCTCAAGAACCAGTTAGGGTTTCCTCTGCAAGACTTCTCCTAGCACTGTTGACCCAAATTAGGGTTTGTGTTTGCACAAAGATATTTTGACATAAAATGCCTAAGATGACTTTCATACTTCATGTTGGACTCCCAAGTTTTTCCATACCAAGTTTCAAGCCTTGATTCTAACCTTTGCCCGGTCAATTGGACAGTTGACCTAGAAATCAGCTGTATTGGGGAAAAAAGTCAACTGTGGCCAATTGATAGTCAAACCTCATGAAAATTGACCCACATAAACATTATGAACTCATATGGACCATTTGATTAGGTTTGGATCACAGTTCCACAAGAAATTTGATCAGATCACCAAAAGGGCAAAATGGTCATTTTTAGGGTTTTGACTGCACAAAGGCAATTTTTGACTGTTTGACCTAGCCAATGGCAAACCAAGCTCACATATGGACTCAAGGACCCCATGGAATTGTCTTGACATACTCAACAAGTTCAAAAGATCCCAAATACACAAGATTGACAGTTGAATTTTCCAGTCAATTGATCAATTTTGACTGTATACTGAAAAGTCAAACTTTGACTTTTTGGTCAAAATCAAGTGTCAAGATTCATTTTTCATCAAAACATGCCAAATCATGAAACTTGTCCATCAAGAAATCAAAAATCACAAATTAGGGTTTGAAATGAAGATTTTTCATAACTTAGAATTTTTCTAAGTTATAAAAAACCCTAATTTTTTCCTAACTTTGTCCCACTTTCTCATCAAGATGCATTTGGATTCAAGGAAAAGTCAAAACATGAAAGTTGTAGTCCATTGCAAAATCTACAACTTTGATTCACAAAGTTTCCTCAAAAGAAGTTTGTAGCTCAAGTTACAATTTTTGGAACAAGGGTACCAAACCATTCTTAACTTAGAGAAAATTTTGACCTTTTTAGGCAGGATTTTTGCCTAACTTCAAGACCACTTTTCACTTACTTACACTTGTAATTTCAATTTGCATTTCAAAGATGGATTGTAGTACACATTCCAAGCTTTCCAAAATGTCCAAGAACTCATCAAACAACCTCATGGTTAGAGAGAATCGAATTTGGCAAGTTGGGAAAAACTCACTTTGTTCATGACCAAGTTACATGTCCATAACCTTGCATTTTTGAACTCAGCATGCCTTAAGCTAGATTACAGGTCTTTTATCTCATCTACACTCCATAATTTAATGCTAATCCTTTGTGCCAAGGTATTTTTCTATGAGTTTGGTCATTACATGAAAGTTTAACCCTTAAATAGAAAAAGCAAATTAGCCATTTTAGAAAAGTTGAACTTTATGTCAAATGCAAATCCAAGAAGCATAGGCACAATCTTTTGATCTGGTATTTTGTACACAAATCACTCTAACCAAGACTAATGTATGCAGCATAGATTGGGGGCCTGTACAAGCTAGAAACACCAAGTTGATTTTCTTGCTTAAAGTTGAAGTAACCTTGCATAACAACTCCCAACTCTCATTCCTGTGAACCAGAGCTTAAGCAAAGATTGTGAACACTTTCCAAACACCACCCCTGACCTGAAACACGAGCCAACCATCTCCATTGCCTTCTCAAACACAGAGTCACCATAAAACTGCAAAAACAGGGCATAAGCTGCAGTTGGACTTCCATAGTTCATTCCACTCGTGCATTCTTGCTAAGACCACTTCAAACACTTTCCCTACCATCCATACAAACTGTCCAAAGCATTAGAAGCAGACTGTAACACCCCTAACCAACATCACCATTTTCATTTTTCTGTTTTGCAGTTGAAGTGCCATAACACGATTCACTTGGTTTTGGAGCAAACTAAAGATTGGAATAGCATCCCTGGACATCAAGGAAGCTATACAAATCATTACCTTGCCTTGTAAGCATCTCCATTGTTGCACACAATTCCAACTGAACAGGTAAGTTCATGAACTCGTATCTCTCTATCCAGGCATTGTTAGATTTAGATTTGTGAAGAGATTATGTCACATTCATAGCCCTGAACATGCCCATATCATTAGTTTTCATTTATGTTATGCGTGCTTAGAGAATTTTAAGTCTGAACATTGAATAAAAACTAGGTCAGGAATTGGGGGAGAAGAAATTCTCTCTCATTTCTGAGAGTTAGATCATGTTCTTTATATGTATGAAATCGTGAGATGATGCTTTACATTTTTTGTGTTGTAAGTTTTCATTAAAAATCAAAGAATCAGGATCTTGATGTTGAAGCAAGGAGGCGCGCGTTTTCAAACAGAGATGGCTGGAGGTTGAAGAAGCTGCCTTTGGGCTGGGCCTGTTTCACTTTTCTTATTTGCACCATAGTTTTACTTTTAAACCCCCTTGGCCCATTGTGTTTATTTAATATATTTTCTTGACTTTTCTTTTTATTTCTGACTTATTTATTTTTTCTAATAATATTAAAAATATAAAAAATATTTTTCACACCATTTTTGTATTTATTAGGCATTTAGTTGTTTAAATTGATGTTTGTACATAAATAATACATAATATCTTTTATTTAAAAATACTAAAACTAATACCAATACATTTTATTTTCTAATTTTCATTTTATTTTATCTTTTGAAAATATTTTATGAAAATATACTTTTTTTGTAAATATTAAATATTTTATTTTTTTACATATTTAATATATTTATCATACAATATAAATATTTACATATTTATTAGGATATTTAGGATAAAAATACAAAATATATACATTTTTATTTTTATTAATATTTAACATTAAAAATACCTTTTTGAAAAATATACTTCTCTTTTATTTATTTTTTTGTAAATAATTAATAAATATTGCATATATTATACAATAAATACTTTTATTTGTAAAATTAGGGTTTTTGCCCTAAATACATAAAAATGCCCAAAAATTAATACTTTTATTTTTGTTTATTTGATACATACATAAAAAACACTTTTACATACACATAAAAAAATCATTTTTGCATCTTGCATATTTATCTTATTTTATTTAATTATTGCATATTAAATAATTTGTATAATTCCATTTGGATTGTAATAGTTTAGGATTTTAATTCTTGTCAAAATACCCCCATTTGAACATTTGTACCCCCCTTCCTATATATTGTGTTGTAATAACTTAGGAACTTTCTTTTTCGCACTTTAAAGTTTTCTAAATATGCCATGCTAGAATTAGGGTTGTATGCAAATCAATTAACAAAAATAGTTTGACCTAAATTCAAGATAAACAAGCATGAAAATGGACAACACTAATCACACTTGCACCCCTAGGGTATTCCACTTGTTGCCTTCAATAATGGGCCATATTGCATGTTAAGTATCATTGGGCTAAAACAAAACAAATTCAAATGATCATAGTCCCTCGATGACGCTTTCAAAAGTTGCCTAAAAATGATCAAGTCCCTTAAAGGAAAAATTGCCCAAAGATACTTGGCACCATTGCAATCATGGTCTAAACGATGACCCGCGCCCGTCCCGTTAACATCCTAACACAAGATTGTCCACCAAATGCAATGGTGGAACAAAATTGTTAAAAGGTTTAAAACATAGCAAAGATCTTTGAGAACTTTAGGGTAGATAGCTCTTGAGTACTTGTCAACTTGCAAAACAAAACACTTGCCTATTTTTCAAATCACACATCAAAACACTTTCAAAACAACTTTCAAAAAACATCGAAAACCTTTTCAAAAGACATACACCGTTGTATACATCCCAACATGGATCATTACAAAGGTTGCCACCACATTGGCTTCTTTTCAAAACATTTTCAAAACCCACACACAAAGCACCATTTCAAACAATTGAAAATTAAGGCAAGTTGATCTAAGAAAGTAACTAAGAGCCCATGGATAACCATGGATAGAAAGGGTGCTAATACCGTCCCTTTCTATAATCTACTCCCCGAACCCAAGAAAACATCTCAAAGGTTTTTGCTGTGCTTTTTAACCTTTCCTTAGGATAAAATAAAAAGTCGGTGGCGACTCTTGCTCAACCGAAACATTTGCGAAAACAAACGCAAAACCTCAAGTCAGTTCTCCCACCGTATCACACATTCAATCATACATTACAAATACCCAACACCATTTACAATATCCAAAAATATACTACAAAAATAAGAAATACACTTAAAGGTGCATATATTGAGTCTCATCATCGCTTTTTGTGTGGCGTTGTCGTGTTTGAAATGCAACCTTGTTGCTTCCATCTTCATTACCTTCTTCATGACTAAACCGGCGTATTGTAACTTGCCATGATCTATGCCTTTTGTTTCAATCCAAAGCAATCCTGAACATTTACACAACAAAAATAAACAGTTATTATCAATTCAACAACTATAGTGCATTCTCTTCCAAGACTCATTTCTCTTACAAGAATTTCTTTCAGTTGAAGAATTTGGTTCTCATTGTAGGAAGGATTCCGCAAATTGCATTGTATTAAATCTTAATTTAATCCTATGATCAGTGTAATCAAGGGAAATTCATAAAAGTGGGGTGTGTCAACTTTAAGTAAAAAATGGACGATTTCCTGGGCCGCATAATCCAGTTACCCTTGTAGAAGATATAACTTTTTCTGTCAGTGACGTCGAAGCATTAGCAAATTTTTTTTAGACTATGTGTAATTCAATCAAACCTGACGGAAAAATAAGCAGAAAGGAAAGATTTATTTTGCTGACCTTGTTAAAGTATTCCATGTCTTCCACCCAGATACACCAGTAGAAGCCAAAACAAAATTGCAAATCCTAACCAATTACCAAACAACCATTTAACAATTTCTGAACCTCCTAACTGTTTTCAAAACTGAATCCCAATTCCAAAACAGCTCTACTGTAACTGTATTCAACCTATACCCATTTTCCTAACCAACTTCCTATAACAGAATTTTCCATAACTAACTTCTAACCAATCCTAACCAATTACCAACCAAATAACTATATCATAGCAGAACCATTTCCTAACTACTGTAATTGTCAAACAACCCTTTCCCCTGCCATAACCATATTCTCCATAACCTGTAATAGAATTCCCAACAAACCAAAACAGAATTCACAAATAAAGTAACCAACTTCCAATTGTCAAAACCATTTTCCTAACCTCTATAACAATAACCAAAACAGAAAAAACTGCTAACCGAATTCTTCTTAACAAACTCCAACCGCTTCTAACAGATTCCAACAAACTTCCAGCTAATCATTCTCAACTAACTTCCTAACAGAACCTGGAACAAACTTTCTGATATAACAGATCGAGGATCTTAGAGAGAGGGATTTCATTATTTACACATTCAAAAACTCTCAAAAGAAAAAAGAAAAGATATAATAGATCATAACAGAAAGGGGGGAGAGAGGAAGGGATAATACATAACAGAGTTCGTTCACAGGGAGAAGAGGACACCATAAAATTACCCGTAGAAAATCACAGAGGAACTGACCTTGAAATGGCTCCTCTGAGTTCTCTCTTTCTCTGCAATGACCATATCTGCATCTTCACTCTTCTTCATCATCAACATATCTGTTTCATTCTCATAGGAAAAGAACTTCAACGCTTCATCCATAACGACCTTAAATCCGTACATGCATCTTCATTATCTAACTTTCATCTCCAACCTGCGTCAAACCGCAACACGTCAACATCGCTGCAACACACTTTCACCAACCTTCAAGAACGCTGAAATATGGGTTTATTTCTTAGTTAGAAATTTCTCGACAACAACAACAACATCGCAATACACTCCAGATCGCACACAAAAAAGCAAAAAAGAAGAATTCGAATAAGAAGAAGGTATAATCAGGCGTATGATTGTATAGAGCAACGTACCTGAGCGTTTGTATCATATTCTCTGGGTTTATATTTTCAACCATCACTGTTGAAGGAGCGACAGACGTTCTCTACTGAGAAGACCGGAAGTGTAAGCGAGATCGAAAGCGAGGCACAGACAGAACTGAGATTGATGAAAGGCGGACAATGAGAAGGTGATGCCATAGCCGCGAGAGGTTTGAATATGTGAGTAGAAGAGGAGGACGGGATAATCGTCGTGTTTATGGCGACGAGATACGAAGACGCCGAGACAGAGACGATCGGAAACGAAGATTGTCACGGTGAAGGTGTGAACGAAGGAGTTTGCGCGGAGGTAAGAAGAATCGCGACAGAGAAGTGAAAGATAGAGTTGGGCGCCGCCGCCGCCGCTGAGCCGCAAGAGAACAAGAAGGACGAAGCACAACCAAATCAACCCTAAATCCCTTTTTCAATTTTCACATATCTATTCTTTTTTAGTTTTAATTGTTTTATTGTTTTATTTTTTTAATTCAAATTAATAATAATGCTGATAATAATTTGTTGAAATAAACAAAATGCTGAAAAATCTGGTGATGGAACTATAAACCTGGGCATAATACTCTCTTTGCTAGGCCCGTTTTACTATCTTTTTGGAACTAATTTGCAAACAAAACAAAAAAACTGGTCATGGACTCAACCAGTTGGGCCTAGCGCCCTTACTAAGCCACACACCCTGAATTCAGCTTGTACCCCCTAACTCTTCTAATTTTTCTTTTTTTATTATTTTAGTTTTTCTTCTAGTTTGATTTTTTCTCTCAATTGATAATAAAATGATACAAAATAATATAATATTTTAGAATTCTTTAGAATTCCTATTAGAAATTTTTTACTATTTTATTTTTCATATTTGGTAATCATTTTTATTGCCATTTTTAGTCAAGATTTCGTGATGGTAATGATGCAATTTTTGAAATATGGAATGCTCGGGGTTAATTCTTCGATCACTCGTTCAAGGAAATTTTGGTAGAATTTTCTTACCGCTTGCACAGTTTCGAAGAGGCAACGGACCTCCTCCGTTCGGCATCGTCGCAACCCTATTTTATTCTTCATTTCCATACTTTATCGCAATCCATATACATGCTAACATTAGGTAGAATTCCCTCAAAATTCTAACTTTAGGTCTAACAATGCACGATAATATTAGGTGTAGGAATAAACTAGTCTCCCTGTGACTTTTCTTCCCCTTTTGCATACGCATCTAAAACTAAAACTTCTTTTTCTTTTCAAAATTCAAAACACTTTAAAACTACTGATGAGAATCACGCCTTCGCTTAGTATGGGAAATGATAAGCGGGTCTCTTCTCGATCTTATTATTCTTCAGCTCAAGTATAAGTGTGGTTCAATTCTCAAAAGACTCCTTTCATGGCTAAGTAGAAAAGCGACTAATATCTCTCTCTTGAGGTCGACTAGTCATTATCTGCAACAAAATACAAACCAACTCAAACCATTTGTGCGTTCGAGCACCTTTCTTAAAAAACCCTTTTCAGGTAAGGACATGATTAATTTACTTCTGTGCCAACGCATAAGTCTCCAAAGGTCGAGCTGCGGCAGAAGGCAGAATTAACTTCGTCCACAAAAAACACAAACAAACAAAATATATGAGCCGAACTACGGTAGCTCTGATTCCTCAAAACGGATACGTAGGCATTGGGGTAGGGCCCAGGCGAGCATAATTTTATTTTCCCTACATTCCTTTTCCCCTTTCTTTTGCATGCATTCTCCCTTTAGCAGTATAGTAAACAGTAAGCATAGATTGAACACACCCATAAGATAGATAACAAGAGTGAATACTGTAGAGTACTACGGGCGTGTGGGGTGCTAATACCTTCCCCTCGCATAACAGACTCCCTTACCCGATCTCTCGGTCGCAAGATCGTGACTTCTCCCTTCTTAGGTTTTCTCGATGTTTACCTTTCCCTACATGTGGGATAAAAGACGTTCGATGGCGACTTTATTGTTTGATGATTTTCAGCTAGTTGTTTTAGCTGACGACTTCACTAGGGATAGGTCGACCAAATGCTGGTCCATCCCGGAGTCGCTCCTAGCTCTTGCTTTCTTTCATTTGGGTGTTTGTCTTTATGCTTTCAGTTTATTCATTCATTTTGTATATACTTGAGCATACGTATGCATTGCATTTTACTATTTTCCATATACCACTGCTGTACTGGATTTGCTTCTTGTTTGGGTTGGGATGCTACTATTGAGGTAAAAGGCCCAGTACCCAGGCCAGAGTGCACTAGGACACTAGGAATAGAGTGGGGGCATGACGGCTATAGGACGTGGTCCGATTAGTGCAGTCATGTCATATACCACGCTCGGATGAGGTTCAAATGAATTACTATCGGCACCCACGTTTGTGGGTAAGCCCATAGCACTTTCAGGCGAACCCGTGATTTTCGAGTTACCATTATCTTACGCTGACCTAGTTTTCACTCGTGAGTGGGGAGGGAATTTCTATCACAGGTACATATGGTGACTATGTGCAGATGGTTACTCGTGTTCAGATGGTAACTATGCTCAGACAATGACTATTGGTTCTAATGGCTATATTCTGGATTTCTGTTATGACTTTATGCAGATGCTATATCTTGTTGGTGATCGTATGTTTCTCAGATTTATTTTCTGAGTTTGACTTGTTTACCTGGAGATTCATTCGGGCATTCGATCTTGGTATTCCCAGCATATTCAGAAAATTCTCAACAGTATCCGATGTTCCAAAAGCATTGATCTCGTACAATGGGAGATCCACAACGTACTTGGTTCTTATATATGCAGAAGCTATGTCGGACCTTTGATCTGATGATACTCATGGTTCAGAACAGTGCAACAATCATATTCAGAAATGATAGAACCTTGATCCTCTTTGATCTCATGCCTTTGCATACATAACATGGTTAACCACATGCTTAACATACATGTTCTGTTATTTCGAGGGAATCACATTTTTCAAGTCTTGTGCTAAATTCTTCCATCCCTTACTTGCGCAAAATCAAAATCAAAGCACGTGAATTCCTTAGAAATGACAGAACATGACATGGCATTCATTCATGCACCCCATGCATATTCATGCATTCATAGCAGGTACCCGAAGATTGGGGATTCTTATTCAGACCTGGGATTCTCTTCAAAGGTTCAACCTGATTTCTCACTGCACATGCTCAGGGATCAGTTATGGGATAACTCCGAGTGGTACATGCAAGCTTTGGCCCGTGGTCGGAAATTTCTTCAAGCAGGAAGATAATGGATCAAATACTCAGATAAGCCAGGTCATGGAAACTCTAATGATGATGTCTATTATTTCTTTAAGACATGATATGCTTGGTGATGCATATTATACTGGGGCACCTAGCCAACCGATTGGAGATGGTATGTCATCCAGAGACCAAGTCCAAGACTGGATCAATTCAGAAATTGTCATGCTCACATCAGATCTGAAAGGGGATTCTCTCGCACACTCGAGCATCAAGGCTACAGAAAGTCGTCATAATCAGCAAGTCCATACGGAGTCAAGTCTCCTCAACAATGGCAATCATTGGTTTCTTTACTGCATTTTCATTTGCATTCTTGCTTGTTTGTTTAAACATTGCTTGTATATAGAAACTTGTCTATTTTTGAACGAATATCTTAATGCAATAAGTATGCTTGTCTTGAAGTGTTCCTTCCATTTTTACTCATCCATTCGTTATCACTCTTTAGATGTTTTACTTGCATATTGATGCCAGATTTCCTAGTCTTATGCTTAGGTAAAGATTCAAAGGAGGATGACGACAATCTAAAATGCAAAAATCTCTGGTTGGTACGCTTTTGAGTAAGACCCTGCTGACGATGTACATGCCTTGTTTCAATTCCTAAACACTGGAGATATAAGGGAGATAGACCCTCGTCAACCCCTCTGAGCCTTCGAAGTAGGAGTTTCTTTTCTGTTCAGAAAAAACCCTCATTTTAACCCTGGGGCGGGTAGTGTTCAGCTAATCTGATCAAGCATTCAGAACTCATCAAGAGTGTGCATCCAAGGATACAACAATGGTTATCCATCAAAAGGTTGAGAAAATTCAAAACCATAATGGTTAACCTTCGTCTATCAGCAACGTGCATCAACTAATGATACCCCAATGAGTATCTCTCGCGCATCAGGAGGTCAACAGAGGACGATACAACAATGGCTATCCCTCATCTACTAAAGACTCAGGCAGTCACGATCACTTCCAACAAATCAAAACAACGCAAAGATCAATGACTTGTTCAAAATGAAAAAATACGAATAAGAAAGAAACCGAAATCCCTGCTAAGTCAAAACTTGAAAATAAGTCGCTTAGGCAAAAATTGGGGCATCCCGCTGTACTTTCAAATCGAAATTCAAAAGAATTTGTCCAGGAAAAAATTAGGGAAAGCAAGAAAGAAATTGAAAAGCCTAAAAGGCGAGAAAAGGGTTACCGATGAAAATCCTCATCAAAGAACAAAGTCGTGTGATCAGACGCCAAAGGCAAAAGAAGTTAGCGACTGTCGTGTCCAAGAAACCACTGTGGTTCCTCAATCATCGCAAACTCTTCAAGAGAGATGAATGCTTGTACCAGGTCAACTGAACGTAGGAATGGAGAACATCATGGAGAATGGGTGGGCACCAAATAATTTTGAGCCTTAAATCCTTTTTCTAAAATCGTGAACCAGGCCATGTTATAACCCTTTCAAAGCCCCAACTGAAGCATGGGTCAATTCGA